CCTTTCTCACAAAGAGAAAGCACATAAATATGCAGCTTTATTTGATCTCTGCTCAGTGACTGAAAAAAATATATAAAAATAAGCACCTAATTAGCCGGGTATGGTGGCGGATGCCTGTAATCCCAGCTACTTAGGAGGCTGAGGCAGGAGAACCATTTGAACTCAGGAAGTGGAGGTTGCGTGAGCCGAGATCACGCTACTGCACTCCGGCCTGGGCAACAAGAGCAAGACTTTGTCTCAAAAAAAAAAAAAAAAAAAGCACTTATAATAAAAATAAGGCTTATATATAAATAAGGCCTATATATAAATAAGACCTTAAATACCACAAGTGGCTCCTTTTAGTGCTAGTAGTGGTTAGTTTAGTGGTTTCCAACATGGCTACAATTTTCAAAGCTTTCTGCTATTGGGAGAAGCCACACATACAGATGAAAATGCCACTAAGGAATTTCTAGCCGTGATACAGAAGTTAATTGGAGGAGATGGCTATACACTGAATCAAATATTCAATTCTGATTAAATAGCACCTATTATAAATGCATGCCTCAAAGGAAATACATTCAAAGGAAGAAAAATGTGCCCCAGGATTTAAGACTGCAAAAGATAAAAAAAAATTTTACATGGGCCGGGCACAGGGGCTCATGCCTGTAATCCCAGCACTTCGGGGGGCTGAGGTGAGTGGATCACAAGGTTAAGAGATCGAGACCATTCTGGCCAACATGATGAAACCCTGCCTCTACTAAAAAATACAAAAATTAGCTGGGTGTGGTGGCAGGCGCCTGTAGTCCCAGCTACTCGGGAGGCTGAGGCGGAGAACTGCTTGAACCCAGGAGGCAGTGGTTGCAATAAGCTGAGATTGTGCCACTGCACTTCAGCCTTGTGACAGAGGGAGACTCCGTCTCATAAAAAAAAATTTTTTTTTTACATAATCTTCCTTTCACAACTTCACAATAACATAAGATGCAATTCTTCCGACACTCACTTCCACAACCAAACTTGAGGTCTTTTCGAGGTAAAGTGCTGTATTTATTGTATTATTATTTACAATAATAAACAGTGCTACTGTTTTATTGGGTTTCCATTATTTTTTAATGTGTCACTGACAAAATTTTAAGTGTTGTCTCCTTAACCCCACTATTCCCCAAAGTTATGTGTTTTTTATTCTATCCTTTTGCATAATACAGTGATTTTTAGGAATGCATGTCACGTTAGAATCAAACTCATTGTAACTTTACCTTGTAAAAGACTTGGTTTCCTACTCTCTAAAGCTACCTAAAAGCAGAAGACAAATTCTCCTTTGGATCCTTTTGGATTCAGGGGTAAGAAGTATGACTTGCCTGGGGTGGATGTCACTCAAGCCTTTGCAGGAATCCACCGTGATGATGGTATAGGAATACAAGACATCTCCTCCCTCTGGGGGCTCCCAGCAGTCAAAGATCCCAGCCATTGTCAGCAGCCTCCAGTTGTCCCAGACTTTCTCCCAGTTCTCAGGACTATCTGCAACACCAATGCTACCTGACTGGAAGCAAAATACATGGGCAGATTAGATGCATTCAGCAGCCTTCTTCTACATGCAGGTTGGGTACTACTTCAGACTCAAGTGCATGGAAATCATTTTAAAAGTAACTCAGCCCATGTCTTATTAACCCCTCTTGATTCACTGTCACCAAAATAAAGAAGGTTGGTGGCAAGTGCCAACTTGAAGCTATAGATTCATGGCTCCCTAATACTTTCAGAATTTAACATCTTCACTGGACATTTAGGCCTTCCATGAACTGGCCCACCATTGTGGCTATCACTCACATTGTTAATTTGAACCTAAACCAGCTCTTAGTAAATGAAGCTCTCATGCAATTTCATGCACCTGTGTCTTGCTGAAGCAACCTTCCTCTGCCCAAAATGTCCCTCCCACTCTTTCTTAAACTGAATTACATGTCATGCCAATTCCTACTTACCATTCAAAATTCAGTTCAATGGCTAAAATGTAGAAAGCTAGAAAAAAAAATCACTTCTAATAGAAAGAAAAAAGCTGGGCCGGGCGTGGTGGCTCATGCCTGTAATCCCAGCACTTTGGGAGGCTAAGGTGGGCAGATCACCTGAGGTCAGGAGTTCGAGACCAGCCTGACTAATATGGTGAATCCCCATCTTTAAAAAAAATAAAAAAGAAAAGAAAAAAGCTGGATAATATGCAAAATCATAACTTTTCCTAAACTTATCAGGTGAGGTCATAGGGCAATCAATTTCCCTGAAATTTAAGAAAAGACAGAGATGGGACATAAGTACTGGCTTATTAGCAGCAACAGGAGGAAGACACAAGCCTTCATACAACCAGGTAAGAATTCAGATGTTATTATCACATTTCCACAAGCAGAGTATGGGCTAGCAGGATGGTACAGAATCCCTGGGAGCTGCAAACCTCAGAGGAGTTTGCACCAGCTCACAGGCTCTTCTCCTTGGACCTTGACAGTGCAACAGTGAGGAATGCAACTGGGGACAGGGCAGGAGCCTGGAGGAAGCCATCCTCACTGTTGCATACCTTGAAGGCAAGCTCCTCTGCCTTACCTAATCACTTTTCCCCTAAGGAGCAAAAGTCTTAAGCTGCCAGGGAAAGGGTAATAATCCCTTTCATGCCCAAGATACAGGTAAAGACCCACAGAGGCTGGGGAAGGAGAAAAAGCAAAAGTCCCCTACCCCCTGGGGAAGACTGAGCCAGAGAGCGAGGTCTGCCTAAGACAGACTGAACCAAGAACTGCCTCCATCTGTTTAGATGACAAACATTAAGCGACAAGCAGAAGCAGTCTACTTCTGGAGGAGGGAAAAGGGCAAAGCAAGACCCTGTCTAAGGAACAGGCTCACAGGAAAATCCAACAACTGAAGACAGCAGGGCTGCTGAGAAAACCCTCTGGAAAGCAAATTCTTACGCTAAACACTAGGGAACACCAGAGCACTTGAAATCCTGTGGTCAAGAAAGGCACTGTAATGACAACTAAGCCCACACCCAGTTCAATTCCTGACAAGACTGATTGAACCTCATACATTAATGGCCTAATAGAAAAATTTCCAGACATAGATATTATTAATCTCAGTCTCTGTCCTACATAGCATCTCTGGCAACAATAAAAAATTACAAGACACACAAAAAATGCTAAAACAATCAACCACCAAGAGATACAAAAATTAACAGAACCAAACTCAAGAGATTACATTTCCCAGATGCTGAAATTATCAGAGAACTTAAAGTAAGTATAATTAATATGTCAAATGCTCTTGTGGAAAAGGTGGACAACATACATAAACAGATAAGGAATTTTAGCAGAGAGATGGAAACTGTAAGAAAGAGTCACTGAACTTAAAGATAGGTCAACAATGGCCAGGTGCAGTGGCTCATGCCTGTAATCCCAGAACTCTGGGACGGCAAGGCAGGCAGATTACTTGAGGTAAGGAGTTCGAGACCCACCTGGCCAACATGGTAAAAATCCTGTCTCTACTAAAAATAAAAAAAAAAAAAAAAAAAAAATCGGCCAGGCGTGGTGGCTCACATCTGTTATCAGAGCACTTTGGGAGGCCCAGGCAGGCAGATCACAAGGTCAGGAGATCAAGACCATCCTGGCCAACATGGTGAAACCTGTCTCTACTAAAAATACAAAAATTAGCTGGGCATGGTTTTGAGTGCCTGTAATCCCAGCTACTCGGGAGGCTGAGGCAGGAGACTAGCTTGAATTGGGGAGTTGGAGGCTGCAGTGAGCTGAGATCATGCCACTGGACTCCAGCCTGGTGACAAAGCAAG